ATTCATACTAGTTAATTTAAAAACCCCCTTTTTTTGTAAATAATCTATAATTTTTTTTATTAATTTACAATTAAATTCAAAACGCTAATAAAAATATTTGTAGATCCAAATGTTATTATTAACAGTTAAATATTAATTCTATATTAAATACATTATTACAACAATCTATTTTGATAAATTAATCTAAATATTTATTGTTATTATATCATATCTCCAATGTCCGAAAAAACCCCCATTAATCTCGTTATGAGCTGTAATTCTATGTATTAAAAAAAATTCTTTAATTGTGAACTCTTATATCGTCTTTAATGCAACGGAGAGTATTATAACGAGGATTTTTGTGAAAAAATAATAACTTATTATTAAATATTAATATACACTGTTACTATCCAAATAGTTGATTTAATTCCTCTATCGGTGAATTTATTCCTGAAGATAAATCGATTTGATCATTTATTATTCTATAATCGTCGACTTCAAGTGATTTGGGCGATTTTGGTGGTGATTTAGGTGGTGACGGCGGTGGAGTTGTTGACATGCTCACAGATTCGTCAGTTAATATAATACTCTCTATTGAATTTGCGGAACTTTCTTTGCTTGGACCTGTTATATCATCATCTGTATCTGGTGGCAATGGTGGTAATTGTGATAAGGGTATTTGTGGAGGTGGTGGTGAACTGGAAATATCAGATGATTTTTTTTGTTGACTGTTATTACGATTATCGTTAGAAAGAGTTCCTGGAATTTCATGTCCTGATTTCTGTCGACGAATGGATACTGATCTTGACCAACGTTTAAATGTAGATCCTGTGGAATTTGATGATAGTGAATTAGGAAGAGATGACAATATTGAGGAGTTGTTCGAATTGTCTTCAGTGTTGACATCATTAACGTTATTGCTATTGTTGCTGCTGTTATTATGATTATTGCTATAGTAATGATAATATGATAAACCTTTTGATGTTATGTGTGAAAATCCATCAAAACGTTTTAATTGTTTAGCAACATTATATCTAATTCTGCCCTTAGTCAAATTAGGTTCCCTATATGGTTCATCCAAGGTTAACATGTTTTCTTCATTAGCTTTTAATGGCGAAGACAATAATAATTCTGGTTCAGTTTTTTGTAACTCTGGATCCATTGCCTCACTTATAACTGTGTTCAACATTTCTGTTTGAAGTTCTGGATCTGGATCTGGATCAATAGAGTTGTTGTTATTATCATCATCTTCATTTTGCTCATTTGGTTCTTCATTTTCGTTTTCATCATTCTCTTCTCCAATCTTAACATCACCTTCAAAAATACCACCCATTCCAAAACTTCTAAAGAATGGTGCATCATCCATATTGCATCTATAACATCTTTTGATGAATTACCGCCACCCACACCTGCCACACCTTCAAATACTATCAACAACAACAACGACGTTATTATGAATAATGACAATAATAATAATAATAACAATAATACCAGTGATCAAACAACAGAAGCAGGGCCTTCTGCACCCAAAAAATCAATTTCTTCTCAAACAATGCCACAAAATAGTCCTGCTAATGTTATACGCAAGCCACCTTCAACAGGTTCTTTTAATCAATCAGGTTCTTTGCGTAGACCTCCATCTAGTGGTCATGTTCGTTCACGTTCCGCTAAACGTATACAAAGTTCTGGAAATTCATTTTATCATCGATTATCTTATTCATCAAAGGTAACTGAAGATAACCCAACTCCTGTGTATTTATATTCTAATTATAATTTTGCTGATGTTAAACGAGAGTTACAATTAATCACACCACCTACAATACCAAATTATCAAATCGTGGACCATTCAACAAATATGTCTGGTGCATTACCACCTGGCTTAAGATTTCCGACTGGTGCAATACTGGGACAACATTTAATAATTTCAGGCACTTACCTAACCAGCCCTTGTCAAACGTTTAGCATATGGGCATTAAATCTTGCAAATTTTATTTGGATTAGAATTGATACTGGCTCATGTTTCTTACAAGGTTCTTGGAACCGCGGTGTTCTGTGTGAAGCAACAAATAAATACTATGTTCTCGGACATCGTGATAGATCACTCGTTGACGATTATAATCACCGTCAAACAAATTATAATCATGTAACAGTTGTGGATTTGGAAGCATTTGGCATTTATAGACCACCACCTACAACAATGACAACCTCTGCACAAGAATTAGGGTTAGCATTATTAAATGATCCCAATATAGCAGATTTTGAAATTATCACTCAAGATGAACAAAGAATTCCAGTGAATTCACAAATATTATCTCAAAGATGGCCTCATTTTAAAGCACTGGTGGAAATGCAAGCTGATAGGGCACCCAGACTTAAGTATGATGAGGAATCACAAAAAAAAATAGATGATGATTTGCCAATATTAATGTATCATAATAGGGCTCTTGAATTTCCTGAACCATCATCTGTCACATTAGCATTTTTACAATATCTATACACTGATCATCTTTTAACTTCACAGCAAAATCAACCACACGTCTTATCGCAACTTTTACTGTTAGCAGATATGTATGATTTGGATAGGCTTAGACAACTGGCATCACATGCATTACATGTATCGTTGAGTATGACAACTGCAGCTTTAATTTATGAGACTGCAGCTTTATCTCGTCAAACAGGTTTACAAATACGTGCCCTTAAAGTAATGATTGCTGCTAAGAAAATGCTTCAACAAAGCAGAGGACAGATCTTGCCCCAAGGTCTTCAAAATAATGGACAATCTGGATATCGTAGTTCTGTTATCGACCATGATTTATCACCAACCGCAAATTGGGCAACTTCATCAAATCCTGCAAGTCCGCCAATATCGGCAATGTCATCAGAAATGAGAACCTCTTATTATGACCCATACGCAGTTAATAATAATAATTTACACTCACCTCCAATTCATTCAACTAGATCAAGATCGTTGTCAGCAGCTTCTGCGCATAGTGCTACAATACCAAATCGAGGTTATCTTCCAACCATACAGGATACCATGCCCTCTAATGACGTTACACCATCAGAAGGAATTTCTACACCACCACAACATCCACGTTTAAGGACTTCAGCATCTACTAGTTCATTAAATTCCTCGAGATCTGCTAGGACTTTTGGAACAACTGGATTTGGAAATGGAAATGCTCAACCACATCAACAAGATCCTAATTATGGATATGTGGGAGGTGGTATAACAGGAATAGGATTATAATATATATTATATATATATAAAGAAAATCCTAATGAGGTACACACATAATACATCTATCTAAATTAATTAATATATAATTTGTAATAACGTTAATGTTATATTTATTTTTATGTTTTTTATTTTTTTTTGAAAAGAAATAATTGGGTTTTTTATGGGGCATTCATTAATTTAATTGGTTTTTTTTTTCTTTTTAAGTGTATATTAATTGTCATTTAATATGATTATTATTTATATAATATTAGATTTTATGAAAGAAAAAGTAAAATTTTTTTGCAATCATTAAGTTTTTTATACATATATATACACACACACACGAACATAATAATTTATTTTATATTTATTTTTCATTATTTTCATTATTTTATTGTTAATTTTTTTTTTT